GATCTTTGCTTAGATATGGTTTGGCTTTTGGTTCAAACTCCAGAGTTGATCCCAAAACTGATATCTTATCCATACGTAAGCCTTTCTTTCGGTTATTGTCTTTTGGTTTTGAGTCCACAATAAAGTTCACCTTATCTTTGGTGTCGACCTCAGAGTCAGAATCGCTTTCGGATTCATTGAAGATATCATCTGAAGATATAATTGACAATTGAGTTGAAAAACAAATGTTTAGATTTTGAAACAATTCAAACAAACCTTTATTTGATTGGCTTTTGTTTAAATGAATGCTTTTTCGCAAATATTTTGATTGAAATATATTTTCACTCATTTTTAGTGACAATTATTTAATCCGTAATTTAAACACAATTTAAATAGAAATTCATATTTAAATGAAACACAAAAATAAACACATGTTTTGCCATCAAATCCGCGACACAAACAGTGCTCTCAAAACAAATTACGTTCAGTTGTTGTAAAACAAAAGTTTTCAAACTTTAAATGTTTAAAAGTTTTGCTCAAAGTTTTAGCACTAAATTAATATCTAATCATTAGTTATAAGTTATAATATTAATAACACATTTAGTTTTACGTTAAGATTAAAATATTTGTATCTCTTTTCTGAGGAGGAGCTCAAAGATGGTGTCTTTGACGGCATTGAAGACGAGTCTAATGTTTTCTGTATTCGTAGCGCACGTTAAGTGCGAATAAATTATACGTTTAAGACATGAGTCGGGAATCAAATCAAAGAACATATTCATAACGAACTGACGCCCGGATATGACGTCCCGTTTCGGGCCCTCGTATTCGTTGAAGAAGTCCACCAAATGAGTGGCCGAACAGATCTTCTCCTCAAATAAGTCATATTTGTTGAAGAATAGGATTACCGACGAGTTGTGGAACCACTCGCACGTGACAATTGTCTTGAATAGAGCTTTACTTTCTTGAAGGCGGTTATCATTGGATCCGTCTCTTAAGATCTGATCGAATTCACTGATCGCACAAATGAAGATAATGGATGTGACGCTCTCGAAGCAGTGGATCCATTTGCGACGTTCAGACCGCTGTCCGCCGACGTCTACCATACGGAAGATAATGGATTCGTAGACAAACGTGTATTCATTGATGCCATTAGTGGGCGCCCGCGCTCTCAAGATGTCCTGTTGTGTCGGCAGATATTCACTGCAAGTAATCCTATCGATGTCTGAGATGTAATATTTGGCCGAATCTGTCAATTGGTATTCATTTCTTCGACTAAAGCATTGCTGAACTCCAAAGTCGGTCCACAACTCTTTGATGGC